CCGCGCTAACAAGCATGTTTGCCACCAGTTTTGCTGTGATCGGTGCTCTAGACTCATCCTTTTTGTCCATACGGGCATATGGGAAACACGGGATCACAGCGGTGATGCGGCGGGCGGAAGCAGTTTTGCACGCGGATATAAGGATCAGAAGTTCCATCAAATTGTCGTTCACATCGCTACACCCTGACTGGATGATGAAGACGTCTTCCTCGCGGACGGATTCGGAGATCTTGACGTTTATCTCGCCGTTGGAGAATTTTTTGGGCATACATGGCGTGAGGGGCACTCCAAGCCTATGTGGGTGAATCACTAGTCCGTGGGCTGTTTTGCTGCATCATTTAAAGCGGCAGCTCACCGCTCGGCCACGGCATGGGCGAGCTCTGGGTGACTATTGCCTGGAGAGCCCAAATCAGCGGAAGGAAAGTACTGGTGCCAGATGAACATACCCGCAAGAAGTCTGATAGAATTTCCGTGATACATAATTTATAAAATTGCTGGATGGCTTTATAACATAGAACAGGGTGAAGAAGAAAAGGGTGACTGTTGCAATTGGGTGACACAACTGACTGACACAGATGCCCCTTGCTAAAAAAAAATGTCGATAAAATGACCTTATTTGCGCAGCACAAATAATCTACATCTACACTGCCACATCAAACAGACACTCTAATAGTGATGTTTTCTACAACGTATTCTGTGTCTGCATAACCGAGGAGCTGAACTATGCGAGCGCTGAAGACAGCTGAGTGGAGACACGTTGGAAGCCAGAAACGAAAAACCCACCTGTTTAGGCCCCTTACACGGGATATTTGCGCAGAATTGTAGTTTGCTAAACCTCGTCCTACTTCTACACAATCCCAGATCTCGCATTCGTCCATCTTTTCGATCAATTGGGTCTCATCGTCCGTAATCGTCTGAGAACCAGACATTATATTATCTGATAAAGATGCCGACGACCCAGAACGGGAGAGTGGAACAAGGGATGTGACTGAGGCCGTCACTGATGCCTCGGGTTCTAAGACCGGTGTGCATGGTGTCGTTGCGGCCAGATTGGAATATGGCATTTGTGCAACTTCCTTGGCCTCAACTGGAACTCCTTCAGTACTGCGGTGGACTAGTATGCGAACTGCTTGGCCAGAGGCAAATGAACCTCGAACTCCGAGCACCCCAGCTGGCAGCAGGCGGCCACCAGATTCTCGACGAGACAATACAGCATGTGCTCCGGAGTCAATGATCACGCTGCCTGCTGGATAAAGGGTGTGGCTTGTCCATGCCTTTAGGTCTCGCATGGGAATCAAAGCAGGCTTAAAGACAGTATGTGGAGGCCTTGGCCAACTGAGGGATGCAGCGACTTCATCCAAATCGACTTGATTAAGCTTTTGTGGAGCGATCGGGCTAGCAGTACCTGAAGTGGGTACTGACGTGCTTCTCAGTGCTGTATAGTAGTCAATGATATCGACGATCACTGAAGGCTGTTTGCTGGATGCGATGACAGTTGTTACGCCAGCGCCAGTTGCGATTTCAGCAGCAATTAATTTTGTTTCCATTCCGCCGGTTCCAAGGCTAGATCCTAGCGTTGATGTGCTGACTGGAGGAATGGGCTTAGGATTAACCAAATCATTACTGTATCCGATCTGGACCCGTACCTCGTGCTCGGATAGCAGCAACAGAGATGACCACATCAAGCTTTTTCGCGGAAGGATCTTTTCGTGGGTTGGATGTATACAGACCGTCGACGTCTGTGAGCAGGAAAAGGTAATCGGCGTGAATCATAGAACTCGTAATAGCAGACAACGTGTCATTGTCGCCAAATTTAATTTCCTGCAGACAGTTAGCCCATGTTGCTACTCATCATATTTGTAGTAGATACTTACGCTGACAGATATGGTGTCGTTTTCGTTCACGATGGGCACCACGCCCATCGACAAAAGTTCATTTAGTGTGTTGACAGCGTTCAAATACCGTGTGCGCTGGGGTGTGTTCAATGCTTGAACAGGGCGTTTGCGGAAACCACCTTACATCGGATATGTCTCCTCTTGTTAGCAGAACCTGAGCGGTTCGCTGATCAAACTGCCCGAAGAGATTGTCCCATAATGCAATGAGACGTCCTTGTCCTATCGCTGCCAAAGCCTTCCGTTAATCAGTCCTAATCTCAGAAGATGCAGAAGAAAGACACACCTGCTTTTTAGATAGACTTTTTGGTCTCTGCGGAATATCCATCGTCCTCAATCCAACTCCAATAGCCCCAGAACTGACGAGCACCACTTTGTGTCCATGGCTGCGGAGACTAATGACGGTCTCAACGACTGTAGAAAGTATGGACAGGAGGGGTTGGTGCGTTTCTTCATGGACGATGGAAGATGTTCCTACAGGGTTTTACAGATTACACATCTGCGGGAGGTGGGGCGGGGATACTACTAGTACTCGCCAAGCTTGATAACGATCGTGCTAGGAGTTCCACGTTTTGCTGGCCGTGACATTTTGCAGAGGTCGAGGATGTAGATGTGGTCGCGTCGAGAAGATGACGGGTAAAATTATGATGAGCGACTCCCTATGGCGCTGACTCGGCCAATATAAGTCGCAGCTTGAATGAAATGGCCTAGAGTCTTCTGGTAGTCTCAGGTATCGAAAAATCGCACACCAGTTGTATGTTGAGGGACGAGCGCGATCGGAACAGCAGCAACATTAGTAGGTGACATTAAAATTATTGAACATGGAACGGCGGCGCCGGTAACATTGCCATGAGTCATGCAAAATAGTCACCGAATCCAACTTATGTTCATTCTTCTGCGTACCGTTACACCAGAATATGCAAACATCATAACTAAATATGCATAGAATATATCCACAGATCATGTGTAGAACTAACGACTCCAATCGTGTAGATGGCCCAAATTGTTAATTCATGGGAGCCTTGGCAGCTTCCTTCTCGCCCTTCAGGATGCGCTCGAGGTTGGCACCGATGTGGCGGCGTTGATCAAGGGTAAACTCGGGTTCTGGTGCAGAGTAGCCGAGCTCTGTAGGCTCCGTCAGTATGGTTGCAAATGTGCTTGTCGTAATAAACTCACTCAGACTCGGGTATTGTATCGGTAACTTTTCAGTTTTCACCGGGAGAGTAGACAGATCAAGAGGGAATGAAGGGCCAATCCACGCATTCCGGAGTTCATGGTCTCTGGGAAGTCATTGTCAGGTGTATCACACCGGCAATAATCTGCACTCACTTTCTCTGCAAAGGCGCCCACGCCCCGCATCGGTCAGTCAATCAAATGTTCGATAAGCAAATGAATTACCGCTTCACGGGTCAGAGGGTGCACGAGTATGCTTTGCAATTTGATTGCAATGAGCCGATGAGTCAACTTGACTAAGAAACAAAGAAATACCTTAGATCACCCCTGTTCATACAAAGGTACGAAAATACAGAGGAAAACGAGGTCGAGGGGACCCAGATCTCGTATGAGCCTGGGATTGACTTGGGAATGATTTCTTGCTAGAAAGGGTATGATAGGCACTTACCAACTGGATGAGGGCCGATAGGGTCGGTGTTCACACGAAATAATGGCACAGCGACGAACGCTCCATCACGCCTTAGACGCAGGACGGCATCACGCAAGTCCAATGCAGCCTGGTGCTGATCAGCATTGCGCTGATGGAAGTAGATATCTGCACACATTCTTCAGCAACTAAGAGATTGACACCCATGCTCTCAACTCACGGAAGTGCCATTCTCTATCGCGAACAAACCGTGACAGAGTCAATGATCAGTACTCAGTAGTGAACTTGGGGCACTCACTTGACTTCCGAGTTAACAACTTCTTCAAGCTCGGTTGGTGGGTGGTAGTCTGACATTATGACCCGCTTTGAAAAACAAGTTTGGCTCCGCAGCTGGTCATAGCTACCAGCACTAAGGATGATATATTTGTAAGTGTCAAGTGCCGCGCCCTTAATGGAAGGCGATCAGCAGACTTCGGAGACGGTGGAATCAAGAGGACTGTAAAAGGCAGATCCCGGATAGATAACTTAGTTTTACATAAGCCTTTAAACCTTAATATATAGCCACTTGAACTTTCGAGACATACGCTTTGAGTTTCGACCTAGCGGTCTCACAGGTGAATAGTTTTTTTTGTTTGCTACTGGGAGGGGGAGGGGGGGTTTCTTACCATAGAACACAACCAGATAGTCAACTTGATAAAAAACGCGCGTGCAAGTGCGCTACTCGCCAAAAAACAAATGTTGGATGTAATTTTTCAAACACGTGATTAAAGCGTGTCATGTCAATATATGCGCGTTATAGTATCGTGTCCTCCATCTCGACGCGTCTCGTACTCAACTCACACTCGAGCTCAAACTCTTTGGCATATATTCTACTGTAGAGATACGCACCTAACTTCGACGTGATCTGAGTGTGACCAACTGAGCATTAGCTTCGAAGCTTCGAAGACGGGTGTGACGTGTGACATCCCCCAATTAGCTTCGTTTTGGCTGACGCATGTGTGACACCGCAGACTTCGTCATCCTTCGCTACCTTCACTCCCATCCGACTTGGAGGATCTGGTGTCTTCTCTCTATGTTTCCGCAAAGTCATGTTGATGCAAATCCCCCAATGTTCGAGTCTGATGAGCACAAGCTTGCAATGCATCAAAGTCTAAGTATTTTGTGTCAAAGTTCCCTTTCACCATCATGCCTTTGAATTTACGCAACAAAATGCAAGGTCTCTTGTCTATCCCTGCGCAGTTTAGCACAATTGTTCCTTCCTGCAGCCTCTCTGTTGCTGAGTTGCTTGTCCTTGACCTACCCACAGTGCTAGAACCTGATGCATCATCTGCTAGCTTCGTTTTTTCTAAAGCACTCCCTATGGTGCAGCTCCCTATGGACTTCATTTCATGATTAGCACCTCTGTTTAAATGAGCATCATCACTTTGTGACCTTGCTAGCAAGGCTTGGCAAGCAGGAAATTGATCTGTCATCCACCCTTCATTCCCCAGCGACTTGCTTCCTTTCTGGGTCTTGTCATACTGGGTTTCTTTGTCTTATGCACTTGAGCATCAGTGTGATTGGTGCATGTCACACAACTGGGTCTTAGACAGACTGGACATTGTTTCAGATGACTCTCTTGAAATTGCAATCATTGACAAAGTTTTAGATGTTATGAAGTGCCTTCCGTGGGATGTGGCTATCAAGGGATTTGGTGTGGTGACTAGTGGGCTCCAACCACTGTTAGCATCAGGCCCAATCAGTACTTCCCTTTTGGATGCCATGATAATGGCAATCATTCATCGCATGCATGCATCTGATAGTGATGGGGACTTTTGGGCAGTCTGTGTTGAACAGCTCATTCATGCAGATATACTTCAGCTTGGTGAGGATCGGTGGAAGTACTATGAGAGTGACAGGGCTTTCTCTTGCCTTCGTGCCATAGGTTCTGCATTACACAAAGGAACTCTTCAGTGTGTACTCTTTCCTATCCATATTGATGGTATTCATTGGGCTGCTATCAAGATCAATGCTGCCAATCAGACCATCTCATATACCGACTCCCTTGGGTGGAGCTTGCCTAACTGTGATTTTGATGCCATTTGTCATTGGTTGGGCTATCACGACCTCTCTGCATTTGACAAGACAAACACACTCAAGCATGGTGAACAGCTGGACTTGTTCTCATGTGGAATTGCAGTCATGAACACCATCAAGCATGCATTATTTTGTGACCCCCTGTTCACCAACAATAGAGCATTCTGCCTCCACATGGAGGAGTTTCTGAATCTCGCTGATGAGCATCTTGAGGTCTGAACATCTCATTTTAAGTGACGAAAATTTGCTGATGAACGCTATCATTTACAGCTCTCAGGCTCTATGGTGGATAGTAGTACTGGAAGTGAGGATGAACATTCAGATGGCTCAGATATTGTCATATGCCATTCTGGACCCTCAACTCTAAATCCACTTCTCTGGACATCTGGATCTGAGATCCGGATCTCCAATGATCTGATCTATCTTTATCTTCCTTCCGGAATCCAAACTCTATATCAGTGCCCAACCCCATTTAGACTTCTCCTGTCTCTGGACTCTGGTTAACTATGTTTCCCTTTTGATCATTGATCCATTACATACATTTCATTTCTGATATGCATTATTTGTGATCCGTCCTACTTACTAATAGATTTTGCATATGCTTTGTACATAGCCTTTGTGTTTGCTGACTGATTCCTATATAATACCTACAGTATATAGACCTCCTGTAACTCTCAGAAATACTTCAGTTCGAATATCATCTTAGTTCCTGCTCATTCCTGTGTCCTCTGGACTTGAGCCAAGTCTCTTGTCACATTCCGAGTCTTAGGATTGCATCCTAGACTACATCTCTGGCTCTACCTTAGGGTAGTCTATCCCCTGTTAGTTTCTAGTCCAGACTTTGTCTGGATCAGCCTTATCTGCTTGTCCAAGTAACATCTGGACGTCCATTATCTGCCCTAGTCAAATCCTGGAAACTCCAGACAACTATTCTAGCCCCTGGAAATTAAGGGCACATACTTGGGAAAGGGGCACAGTGTACGAGCTGAGGCCAAGCCCTTGTGATCCGACCCCCTTGAGCACATGACCTTAACAGATATGGAGAGTGAGGATGAATTTGAAGAAACTCATGCAAAAACGCAGCAATCCCTGGTGTCCACGCCCAAACTGAAACTTGATCTCTGTACAGGTGTAGACCATAGCAAGGGCCTGTTCAAGTTTTTCCCAAAGATTTCATGTGAGGAGCATTTACAGCATGCTTGGATACCTTTCTCTTGGGAACTCAAGGACCAGGAGCAGGATCATCATCAGCAACAATTTGACAAGTTTGAGAAGGCTGCTCGCAAGCAGGAAAGGGCAGCTGAGCATAAGATAAAACAGTGAGCATGTGAGAAGGCTGCAAAGCAAGTAAGATTTCATTTTCTTCTCATCTCTTCACAGCTCATGATCTCCTGTCAGAAATCTACCATCAATTCTGCTCTTCATGACAGCACTCCCCAATGACCAGCAATTAGCATCGCAGAGGCTTCATGTCCATACCATCAATTGCAAAGACATGCTTGTAGCATGCAAACATGCAACTTAGGACAGAAGCGCAAGCAGGAGGGCATGGAGGCTTTGTGTGTCAACTGGCAGAGCCCCCTTCTATGGCCAACTATTGAAATGGCTGCTCTTTGTGTTGGCTATGCAATGTCACTGGTGGAGATTGAGTGTGAGCTTAAGCAAGTTGATCCCACCCACTTTTGCCGCATCTCTGCACAACTTATAGGAAGCTGGATTGACCATCACAGTGGAATGCAACCTGTGTGGCATGTCAGTGTCCTTGCCTGTGTTCAAAAGGGCAATCTTCCATTGACGACTGCTACACCACCTGGTATCCTCTCAAAGTATCCTAATGTCATGAAGACCATTATAGAAGATCTGCATTCTCTGCGCACTGTCAGTGTTGCTCTAGACACAATGTGTTGTCGTGGTGTGATCATCACTCACCTCATGGTCTCATGCCCTGATGTATTTGAGGTTGTTGCCAAGGACGGCTCACACTTCTGATGCACTGAGTCTTGGGTCAAGAAATTTGTAGTGCAGAATCTCAACTGGTTGTTTCATTGTACCACTTGCACTGCACAGAAGACCCCTTCCAATGCCAATCAGCTCTGTCTAGACCAATTTTATCATTTGACTCTAACTATTCGCAACTGTGCAATCTTTCACCCTTGCTTTTATGTCGACATTGACCAGATGAACATTGTATATCAACTGGCAAACACTGCTACATATGAAGAAGTTGGTTCCAAGCAAGTTGCTGTCATTGGACAGGAGGAAAAATGAGCATTCACTGTGGTAGTTGGCATCTCCGCTTCCGGGGACACTCTGCCATTCCAGGTCATCTATTGTGGAAAAACTGCACAGTTCCTCCCTGCAAAAACCACACTGCAATTCAAGGAAGCACAAGACTTAGGCTTCAAGTTGTGCTTTTCAAGTACTGATACATACTGGTCCACATTTGAGCTCATGTGCAGCTATGTTCACGACATCCTTGTTCCTTACTGGACAAGACAAAAGGAGCATGTTGGCACACCTGATGACCAAGAATGCATCCTGCAGCTGGATGTCTGGTCAGTGCACAAGTCTGGTCAGTGCATAAGTCTATCCAGTTTCGCACTTGGCTTGATCAGCATTATTCATGGATCAAATATTGTTTTGTTCCTGGTGGTTGCACCAGCATTGCCCAACCATGTGATGTTGGCACCCAGTGCCCATTCAAGCTTGCCATCAAGAGATCTCAGCATGCTGACATTGTTGAAGAGTCTTTATCATTGCTAAAGAAAGATGAAGCTGCCTCTGTTATTTGACTGGACATGACATTACCTACACTCTGCGATAGATCTTTGCATTGGCTCATCAATAGTGATGTGCATGGCCTGGCTTGGCCTGAAAGCTGTGGCTTCAGATGGCTTTGGCTTTGAAGAACTGCAGGCCAGGCCAAAGCCATCAATGATGGCTTGGCTTTGGCCTGGCTTGGCCTGAGCTGCAGCCCAAGCACTGAAAACTGAAAAATTGTTCAGACAACTTGAAGGATGACATATTTACACAAAGTCACTATCTGATTCTATGAGATCCTCATCTTCCTCCAGAAGAGCATCCCAGCCCTTATCCTCGGCATCACTCAGCTTCTCGGAGTCATTAGTGTCTGTCTCAATATCAGAGTCCTTGAGAGCTTCCTCAGTTGCTGATGATGGTCCAGGCTCATGGAAGAGCACATCATGGTGGAGGGCACATTTGACGCACTGAAGTGCCTCAACAATGTCACCTTTGAGATGGTTTCAGCACTTGCTGATAGTGATACCACCCTGTGAGAATGCGCGCTCACTCAAAACTGACAATGCCAAAATTGACAGGTAGTCATGGGCAATTGAGGTCCATACTGCCCCATATCTGTGTCTGTTAATCTACAACAAAGAACCAGTCAGTAGCAAGAAGAGATGGACTCAGTTGTGTACTTACTCCCCACCATTGGATTGCACTCATTCCCAGTGGAGGTTTTGTCTCTACAGCATCAATGTAGTTTTTAAGACTCGCATACCATGGTCTAGATGGATCTGTGTGAGTGACAATAGTGCTGTCATTGTCATCTTCATTGGAGCTTTGTGTCTTGCAAATTAACTTCTTAAGCCTGCTAGCCTTGCCTTTCTTGGCCAGTGATGGTTGCAATGTGGATGCTGCTTGGCCCAATTCAAGATAGCGAGCCTCAAACTACATGGTTTGTAAGTGAATGTGAGCTGGTGAATAGTTTGGTCAGACATACCACTCATTTTGCAAATCTTCCAGCCAGTTCTTAAAATACAACATTTTACCTGTCAGATTGAGCACTGCATGCAACATTAACATTGAAGACACATGGAACATGAAACATACACATGGTCATGACATAGGCTGGGGAGCCAGTGGTCTTCTCATAATATTCATCAAGCTTTTGTGCAGCAGAGTGCAATGCAGGTGCAAAATGTGCATATTTTGGCCATCCTGCACGTGAAGACCAAGCTCTATGGAGAGTCTCGAGTGCAGGGATAGCAAGATGTAGTGTAGTACTCACTTCTGACAAGAATGCTTGCTGAGCAACATCCACGTACTGAAATATCAAATCAACAGCAGCACTATATCAAATGATGAAGGTAACATACAGATAATAGATCAGCGAATTTACCAACACGGGTCCATTCAGCTGGTGCCAATGTAAGGAAGTCAATCTTAGCCCGTTTCATCAAGTCTCGCTCTTGTAGCCCCATCTCATACACAAAGACATTAACATGCTGTTGTTGGGAAATGGGAAATCAGTCAAAACAGAACATTGCATCAGTGAACACTGTAGACTACACTCACCTCTTTATTGCTTTCTGCATGATTAATCATCACATAGGTCAAAGACCAATGAACCTTCATGTCCAGAAGGAGTTGTGTAGGGTGGGAGATGCCAGCCTTGACTTGCACCATTTTGTAGAGTTCCTTTCACTTCATGGATGATCATTCCTTTGAAAAATCAGTAAATCATTGTGTGCAAAGAGAAGTCAATCAAACCACCTTCACACACATTGAATGTATGAGGCCAATCTCATCACAGTCATGATGCTGGGTAGTATCTGGCTCATGAGCATGGGGGTTGTGAGGTTTGTAATGCGGAGCTTTGCTGTATGTACTGATCAGTACTTGGGTACTGAAATTAATTACATGAGCGAGACAGCTGTGAACACAATTGTGAGTACATGTTAGCTGTCATATCCTACAATCCAGACTCACATTCCATAATATTCCCACGCTTTCCGAGCCTACGTCCGGACCCCATATCCAACTCATTGTCAGATCCCCTTCCACTGTGTGCTCCACACCTCAGTAGGATTGAGTCCACTCCAGATTTACCCCTGAGCTCCGGACCTCTGGATCCTCACTGCTAGCCTGATCTGTACCACCCTATCCTGTCCACCCTATGTGCACTCCATCCAGCAAGACATCCAGACTTCACCTCATCTCTGATTCAGGACTATATCCACCTCATCATATCCCAGTCCTGTATCCACCTCACCTTCCAGATCCTCAGATCTCCAGATATCAACCATAACTATCTCTGGATGTATTCCTGCCCTCTGTCCAATATCCTGCGCCTATCCCCATTTAGACATCTCTGCCTTTCTGGCATTCAGTTACCTCTTCTTCCATCTTGCTTATTGATCCTTGTACAAGTCTTCATCTCTGAGTTCATTTAGTTATGTTCTGTCTTACTTACTAATGTGTTTCCACATGCTCATACATAGCCTTGCTCCTTTGCTTACTGATCCCCTCAGATAGTCTCCAGTATATAATCCCTGTAGATACTCCTGTGGTTTCCTCAGTTCAAATATCATCTTAGACTTTGCTCTACCTGCCCAATCCTCTCTCAGACTTTGGTCCAGCTAAGTCTGTCCTATCCATCAGGCCTAGGGATTGATTCCCTAGGCCGGAGCTTTGCCCTTCTGGCACTTACCCTCTTTCTGGACTTAGGTCTAATCCCTGTTCTCTCTGACTCTACCTTAGGGTAGTCTAGCTCTGTTTGTTTCTGCATCAGATGGAGTCCGATGTAGCCCCTATTCCTTCCAGACCTCCAGGTGTCCTGTCCTTCAGATGTCCTGCCCTCTGTACCTTTGGATATCCTGTCCTTCATACCTCTGGACATCCTGTCCTTCTGTCCTCCTGCCCTCCTGTCCTTCTGTCCTCCTGCCCTCCTGTCCTCCTGTCCTCCTGTCCTCCTGTCCTCTGGACCTTCAGACCTCCCATCCTTCCATCCTGTTTCCTGTAGAAGTACTACCTTGCAGTGAGAACTCTCCTGAGCATTTCCTGCATTCCTCCAGAACTCTCCCATGCTCCTCTGGACATTTCCTGTGCTCCTTCAGAAGTCCTCTAGCACTTCACCAGAGTAGTCAGCCTCCAGAAGTCCTCCGGACTTCATTGGACCATCATTGGACCTCATATGAAATGAAGGGCACATACTCAGGTAAGGGGCACAGCGTACGAGCTGAGGCCAAGCCCCTTTGAGTCAGTCTCTCTCTCCCTTGAGCAACATGGTTCTTAACATTAGCTCAAGCATCATACTTGATCCTTCATTCACGCCAAGGAAAATTCTTCTTGAATCGTGCTTCATAAAGTCAAGTGAACTCCTCGAGCATTGTGCCATTGTTGGCAGCATTATCACAAGTGACATGGCCCAACTATATATCATGATTAGACAAAGCCAAGCAGAATGCGAAGATGACATGCCTTATGTGCAATACCAACACAGTCTAGAACTTTGAACAGTGCACCTCTGAGATGCTTCCCATTGTGTGCATTGTTGAGCCAAGAAGTGCAGTTTCACTCTCCCATTGCATTGTCGACTTCTCTTCAATCCAGTGTCCAGTGACAGCAAAATATCCATTGATATTGGTAGCTTGCCATGTGTCGCAAGTGATATTGATTGCACCACTAACAGCAGTGCTCTGTGTTGGCAAATAAGATATAATGAAGCATGCAGCACTAGATTGTGACATACATTTAATGTCGTCCAGAGTCTCATCAGATGATTCTTGAATATTCACATGATCTCAGTGCAGGTGGCTTTACGACCAGGAATTTTGACTCCATGCATTGCCCATGAAGCAACATTGATCATGTCTTGGAACTTTGGGTGATCGAGGGCTTGGATAGGCTAGGTGAAAGTGTGTCAATGGTCAAACTATTATATCAAGGGAATCATACTTACTTGGTCCGTTGCAACCAACCATTTGATTGCAGCTCATTTGAATAACTTATCAGAGTATGGTATAACTTGCTCAGCAAGTTTGCATTCAGTCAGGTGAGAATTAATGGTCTGCTACACCTGCTTGGCCTTCTCCTTCCGAGCTTTGATATCACCAGGTAGCATAGACTCAAAAGAGTGCTTCTTTGCCTATTGTCAATACTTTCCATACAGCATAATCATATATATAAGCACAATGAACATATGAAAAAACACGCACCACAAAATTAGCCTCAGCATGATGATGAAGTGTTGTAGATTCATTCACAAGAATACATTGCTTCCTGTTGATTTGGTGTGAGTGAGCGAGCACAACCATGACCTCGTAGACTTATAAACATATCTTGCACTTTCGATGCTTTTTGACCTTGCCATTAGTTCCTGCATGATCAAACATCGCACCAAAAAACACATCAAGATCGGCAGTTTTGCCTTCACATGTTGGAGCTGTGTCTGCAATAGGTTGGATGTCAACATCAATTGGAATACCATCATTGTCAACTAAATCATCAACTGGTGCAGCTGATTTGCGCAACCTTTTTGCTGCCAAAAGTTTGGTTTCAGTTGTATGATTCACGATGGCAAATACACTTATGTCATGGATTGGTGTGCACATCTTCATGTCCCTTGCCACCAGATTCATCATCAAGAACTTCTTCAATGCATGTCCTTTTGCCCTTTTCAAGTGCAGCCGAGCTTGAACCTGATGGTGCAGTGACACCCAGAGGTGAATTCAGGGATATGCTGGGGGTGGTTTGATCAGTGCCAGTGTTGGAAGCATGTCGAGTGTCAGACAACTTCACAGCCTCTGCTGCACAAAAGGCATTGATAGCCTTGGTTTGTGATGGGAGAGCTGCCTTCTCTGAATGTTGGAGAAGGGTGGTGGTAGGTTTGGTTCAGCAGACTGGCTGTGCATGACATTCATCATTGCTGTCTGTGTGGACAGTTCCAACCATCAGAGACAAGTGGTGAGAGGCAGATATAAAAAATTACTGTCACAAATGCATGCCTTTTGTCTGAAAACATATGTGATGGTCATTGCCAAGGTTGTGACTTGAAGTTGCAAGAAACTTGCAAAGGAGGGCAAATTACTGAAAATGACAGGTGTGCTATCTGCCAACACTATGGCAAGTGAGTTGTGTCAAGCTTGGAAAGAATGTCTGCAACTCACTGTGATTCTGACACATGTTACCACATGAACATGTACACAATGTAAGTGATCAAAAAGCTAAAATGAGACAGAAGTCAGATTCTCAACTGACAATCATCAAGATCGTCAAGCAGTTTGAGCTTGGGTGCTGCAGGTGTTACAATCATGTCTACCCCTGTCTCATTTTCTTTCTTCTCTTGTGTATTAAGTCATGACCGCGCCTCATTGCGCCATCAGTAGACCAGCCTCTTGCTATATCTGTATTACATCACGATCGCCGCTGCCGTCGCTAGATGACTCACCCTTATCTCTGACTCATCTTGATGATGTATACGTACCTGCCCTAAAGATAGCTACGTCTATATAAGCTCAGTCATGTACTTAGCAGATCTTCACTTTAATCTACTAGGTTCTCACTTGAAACATCCTTTGCTTAGGACCTCCAATCCTAAGTCATCTGATACCGATATTCAAGCCAGAGACACTCTCTCTGACTTGTCTTAAGAAGCCTTACATTTGTGAGGTCTTGACTCAACCACAGACGTTACTCTTATCGAGTATCTGTCGTTGCGCCTATCCTAGTTCACCATAACAGCAGGCACAGTTGACTATAAGCTGCAGCCTGAGCTGGCAGCTTTGGCTTTTCATAATCCCAGGCCAGGCCAAAGCCATCACCAGGCCGTGACTTTGGCTTGGCTCAGCTTGGCCTATTCAGGCCCAGCTTGGCCTGGCCCACAGCCTGAAGCCAGGCTGTGCACATCACTACTCATCAATGGTTACCATGCTATTCACAAGCCTGATATCATCAAACAGGTGCATCTTTCTCAGTGTCGTTGTTACTCTCATTGATATAAACATTGTTAGGCATTTTTTCAATGCAAGGCCAGCACTGCATTCAACCTGTCCTTTGAGAGCCTGACCAGCTGTGAAGCCCTTCAAGCACTCCACAAAGTACAGAAGAACGATATTGAGGTGTGGGAGTGAATCAAGACAGCTCAGTACAGGGTTGAAAAATCAGCATCAGACAAGGAAGCAGAGCTGCTGTTCCCACATGCTGCTGACATCAATCTTGATCCTTGTGATTTTCCTGTGGATGCTGTTCTACAACACATCGTGTCAGGTGAATCATCAGCTCCTCAGGGCTACAGCACTGATGAATCAGGCAATCTGGTAGCACACAACAGGTCAGAGAGCTATGAGCAAGAGGGAGTAAATGATGGGTTGGTGGCACTGCCAGTGGACAATCATGGTATTGATGATATTGAGAATGGTCGAGGAAAATGCAGATGCACTGCAAATTCTTGATACAATGACTTTTGGCAACATTGATAATGTCCTATACTTTTTTTTTGTATTTTGACAATGTGTCACAAATTACTTTCAACAACCTTGAATTTGTGTGACAGTCACTTGAAATAGCTTCGATTCATTGGGCCTGTGATGGTGTGATGAAGTTAGGTGCGTATCTCTACAGTATACTTACTTTTCAGTGTCAACAACAAGGTTCTCAATGGCATCTCGAATATCAGGTGCTTCTGCAAGCTCCACAGCAGCAATGCTCCTGATTGCCATGAGCCTGCGCTTGAGTACACTAGTAGACAAACCAGTCTCCATTTGAGGCTGAACTTCACTCTTTCACTTAGAGTGGTGGGCCAAATTCTTGGATGAGTAATAGGGGAGTCACTCCTATCAATATGAAAATAGCTGGAATGATGGAATGCAACTGATGATCAGAAATGACGAGAAATAAGGGTTAAGTGCTTGTAAGCTGCAAAGTGAACACACAAAAGGCACAATGGCCTAGGGAAATGTTGTAGGGAATGAGATTCCTCTAGGCATATATCACCCATATTACATTTCATGACAATTGGTATAGTGTACGACTCACCATCTATGACTTTCCTGCATTATGCAATGCATTCCCATGCACGCGCTTAGCATGCTCTTCCTGCGCTTGGTCGCACTTTGTCATGCAGCATCCAGGAGCATCCATCCATCGTCCAACCAGTCCCCTAGTGAGTCCTTTCCTGTTTATTCTCATATCAGACCATATTTAGCATCATACAATATTTTATTTCATCATGGACCCTGTCCTTACATCATTTACATACTTAGAGCGCTCCCTATTCGCTTCTGAGCCCAGGGAGCACACCTAGGCACAGCTTACCTGTTGCCTGGAAGAAGTTTTCATACACCAACCACCACCACAGAGAGATACACCTACCACCACCACAGAGATACAGCTACCACCAGCATGTCAGTAGTCATCTAGCAGTCATAATCATCATGAGTTAGCATCATAGTCATTGCCCTAGTCCCCAGCAACAGTCCATTATCACCATCAGTCACCATTCAGCAGTCTCAGCACACGTCCTCATGCCCACTACCAGTCTTTTATATGTCTGTGCACAGCATGTGCCTTATTCCCACGCTTCGCGCTCCTACGCACTCCATATTCCCACATGCATGCTTCACCAGAGTTGACCTGGTGTCACTCTGTAGATTTGCTTTCCTTGCTTCCCCTAAGGGTCAAACATATCACCTGGCGCACTTCAACCAACATTTAGAGAGTCAGTAGGCTTTCCTCTCACCCCAGAGGTAGAGCTCTCTTTCTTTCTTTAGCTCTGCAAGTCCAGCAGAGTTGTTGAACCTTCAATGTTGATATCAGCTTAGGCTTCCAGCACTAGTACAACCGCAGCTTGGCTGTGACCCACTCCAGCTTGGCATTCATCAGTTTGCTTGTATTTTGGCTATCCTAGTGAGCCAGGCTATTTATGTACAGTTTGGTTTGGTCTGTTAGCCACCTGGAGTCCCACGAACTAACTGTGAGCCAAAAAAAATCAACATCAGCTCAAGCTGGTTTATAAATATGTGTTGAAGTCTCATTCCCGGTTAGTTTCACTGTTACTCCTCAAGGCCTCAAGGCTCAAGTCATCTCACAGCATACCAACCATGAACCCTAAGCTTCTGATATGAGTTGACGGTAGGTTCAGACTTGGAGAAGTTATAGGATCTGGTTCATACGGTATGTTATTCACAAGCTGACTACAATTATAAAAACATTAACACACTATGGACCCCACTTAGCTGTTGTATACTATGCTAGGAACATCATCAACAATAATGCAGTTGCCATCAAACTCGAATCCATCACTACCCAGCCATCTTCTGTACAGTGAAAATACATGATTCTGAAATGACTTGAAGGTGGAGTTGGGATCCCGCACGCTCTCTGGTTTGGTAGAGAGTCACAATATCATGCTTTGGTTCTCAGCCTCCTCGGGCCATTGCTGCATGATCTTTTCCTCACACATGATTGAAAGTTCAGCCTTCCTACTGTTGTAAATCTAGGAATCCAACTGGTGAGTCATTTTGTGCTGGGTTTTTGCAGATAGGCTAACCCATTTCCCAGATCTCACATCTTGAGTACATCCACTTGCACAATTATGTTCACTGCAATATCAAACCGCAGAACGTCATGGTGGGCCTTGGCCATTGAAGCACACTGCATTTATAATTGATTTTGGTATTGCAAAGGAATACTGGGACACTGCCACCAGAGTCCATATTCCATTTCATCAGAATCAATGTCTCACTGGCACACCTGCCTTCGGTTCAATAAATAACTACTTAGGAGTTGACCCAGGTTGTTGTGACGACCTTGAATTGCTTACATATATGTTGATCTATCTATTATGCAGCTCCCTTCCTTGGTTGACAAGTGACCACGAGAAACTCTCCAGCTCCTCCATACTTGAGCGCAAGGTCAACACCACTATCAAAGTCTTATGCAATGGAATTCCTGTCGAATTTGCAAGTGTTCTCATCTACACATGCTCTCTTGTGTTCTCAGAAGACCCTGACTATGAACATCTTTGTTCATTGCTTTGTGGTCTTCAAGCCACCTTGGCTGTGCCATCTACATGCTCGCTGGATCTCAGCATGCCTGATGATCACATCATACATCTGTCAGACATCTCTCATCACCCTCTAATCTCCAATAAACACTGGATGGCCGAAGCAGCCCCATGTCTGCCAGATGCAACACCACTTCGCAGATCTACTTGTGTGTGAGTAATCTGTTTCATTTTTCCATTCACAATCTAAAGCTAATGTGATTTCCAAGTTTACAACAATGTAATGGCTCTCCCATGCATCCAACTGCATCGCAGAAAAACTCATTAGTTGCTAGATCATGCTGTTGACCATGTACTTCTATCTCTACATAAATTATAGTGTACAAGCCTTGTGTTTCTCATACATTCAATGCAGTCAATTACATGTTGCCTTGAGTCAAACTTAATCATCCCAATGCCCAACTCTCACACAGAGTCACACTGAGTCACACAATTTCTTATCTTTTCACACCCTTTCCCTCCCATCTCCTTGACCACCCTCCTTGCAACTTGCAAGTGCTGTTTTTCTGCAAATTGGTTGGCCTGCTACAGAAACAAACTTGTTCTGGGTACATGTTCCTGACTCATAAAGTGTGAGTCCCAACATCTACCAGTTTTGCCTCATTAAATGCTATCAGCATCATGGCCAACCTGCTGGATGATGCAAGGGGGATTTTCCACAAACACCCCAATCTCCTTGCACTGTATCACAATCTGAATCCAATGCTCAATCAATCAGTCATAAACTTCCAAACTGAAGGTAAGCATTAACTTGCTTGACCCATTGGTTGTCATCTGAAACACCCGTTTAGTGACCGTCAAACCACCTACCCTGACAACCCTTTGCAAACATGAGATGTCCCTTTTGCCGGATGTCATTGCTATATTGCAATTTGGCTTCTGGACAGCCAGTTGACTCTGAGGACATAGGTAAGCTTTACTGCATTTCATATAACCAACTGATTGCGAGATCTAGGGCCCATCAGAATGCACATCTTATAGTATCCCTCTCATTGGGGAAGCTTCATAGGTAGTGGGCATCGGGGAAACCCCACACATATTGTGCTGCATAAGACCACTCAAATGAACAAGATCTCATGGTACATACCCTGGCCCCTGGGCATATGTTCCTTTGTCCCCCTTGGGTCATCACAATTAATGATGTTGTTTAGACCATCACTTTGCTTGTGCAAACTCAGACATGTTCAACCTTGTCATTATTTGACTCAGCACTGGCATTTCCCCGTGTTCCCCATGACAAAGAATCATCAAAGATACATAAAGACTCGGTCTTTGAATCTTCACCATCACTTGAATATGCCTCCTCATCGATGAGGGCAGGGGTCCTGGGTTACCACTGAGCCTACTCCTGCTGCTGCAACTACCACCACTGCTCCCATTGTTGCTACTCCAACTGATGCTACCTCCATCATTGCTACCCCCATCATTGTTACCCCCATCGTTGCAGCTGTTTCCCCCATTGCTGCCACTGTTGCTCCCATTGCTGCTGCTGTTGCATTGAATGCAACCATGCTTCAACACCCTCAAAGGCAATGGCAACTGCCTTTAAGGTACCATGACAACAGCCCAGTTCGTACTGGCCATATGCCATATGATGGTGAATATATCGACATTGACAATGTCTCTGGGGGTGAAGAGGATGACTTGCCTGCACCCAGAGTTAGGGCTCCTCCGGTTCCCAGCCCTATGCAGACAGCAGCTAGCACGATCTACTCTACCCAAGTTGATCCCTTGGCCATGGGTGCCTGAGCAAAGCAGCCTAAAAGTACTGCTGATATCACATACTTCTTTCAGGAAGATTCAGATACTCAACGCAGGATTTGCTGAATCTGTGAGTAAGTTTTGTGTCTGTGATCATGTCATTCTTTCTTACAGCCTTGTCTAGGGAGTTGCAGAAGGTGGACAGTTCACACCAAGTTATGTTGTACAAACACTCAACTGGCACTTCTGCCCATCGTACTCATGCTTTCTATCACCATACTGACATTTTCCTGCAAGAGGCAGAGCGCCTAGGCTGGCCTATCTATGTACAGCCCCTCAATGAGTGCCTTACTGAAGGCTGGAGTTTGGCAGCTATCCATGCAAGACTCCACGACCCTGCATATCACATTGAATTGCTTGGTACCATCTCTAATCAGGGACACAACAATTTTCCACCTGGAACCACCCCAGAAGATCATATTCCAGATTTCAGCATCAACAAGATGCACCGTCAGTTGGTGAAGTTTATAGTTGCAGACAACCAGGTGAGTGTCATTTACATTTTTTGCGGAAGGATCTTACTGACTTAGACATTCCCCACTGCACAAAACTTTGTGAGCTCATCATAGTCACTTGGCAGGAGTATTTCCAGGTGTTGAAAGGTGATCCTGCTGTGAGTGTCTAGTTATCAAGAATCCCATCATATGTCTTATATATTTTCACAGAGGGTGCAAGGAAAAATATCCTTTACATCTGACCTCTGGTCTGATCAGAAGCTCTGCCCCTTCATGGCACTCACTGCTCACTGGATTGCCAAGGAAGAGAAGATATCAGTGCTTGTCTTGAAGGCAGCCCTTATTGCATTTCACCATGTTCCAGGGAGTCATACTGGCAAATCTCTCAGTTCAGTCATACTGCATCTCCTTGATCATGCTGATGTTGCAAAGGATGTAAGTTAAGTCTTCACCTGTATTGTATGACATGCTCTGACTTTGTTTAGCCTGGACACTTCACTTTGGACAATGCAGCAAACAATCAGACATGCATGAAGGAGCTTTCTAACTTACTTGAAGAATGCCAGATTGATTACGATCCAATTGAAAACAGGATCCCTTGTTTTCCGCATGTGATCAACATATGCATGAAACATATTCTGGATGACTATGCAACAGCAGACTTCTCAGATGTGGAGAATACCTGGAAGGTTTGCAGTCAGGACATTGCCAAGATTGACTACACTGGTGCCATCACTGGTAAAACTCTCAAATGGGCCAGAAATCTTGTGTGCTCCATCCGTATATCAAACCAATGACAAGTGAATTTCAGGGATACCATTGTTATAGGTAACGACAAGGGTTGGTTCCAAGGAGACAGAGGTGAGCCTATAAAGCTCCCTGAAGTTGAACTCCTGCTCGACGAGCCAACCTGCTGGGACTCAACATTTGTTATGCTTAATCATATGCACAATCTATGTCAGGTGAGGTCTCATCTCATTAAATATTTGTGGTGGGCTAACCATTGCCCAGGTGGTTGATATGTTCTTCCAGCCTGCCAGTCAACTCTCCATATGCAACAAACAGCTGACTCCAATTGAATGGCATTTCCTACAGGACTTCAAAGTGATTCTGGAAGTAAGTATTGACACCTTCATAACCTATGTTGCATTTAACCATGTAATTTCAGCCCCCACACAGAGCTCAACAATCCATGTCAAGTGAGAGCACTCCCATGTTGGGTCGTATGGTTCCAGCTTTTGAATGCCTACTTGAGGATTGGAAGCAGTTGGCCAATAGTGCCCTGCACTGCACCCCACTCATCAACATTGGTTTGACTGGGGCAGATAAGTATGACAACAGGATGGCCTGTACAAACACTTATGCCATTGCAATGTGTCAGTCCCTTGCATTTTTATAAAATTTGATGTCTTATGATCGCTCTATAGACGTTGATCCAACATGCCGAATGTCATGGGCTACAGATCATTGGGATGAGAACCAGTTGAAGTCAGCTAAAGAATTCATTCTCAATCTGGTACATCTATCTATCTAGCAACAGCATGTGCTCATATGTCCTGTAGATGCATGTCAAGAGAGCACAGTGGACCTCCAACATACCAGCTTCAACCCAACAACCCTCGAGATTACAGTCATGCATGCTAGGCTCCCATATCTACAGAGTTCATGAGGGGGATGCACTGCCAGTTTGTGATGATATCATCTAGACAATCGATCAGGAGTTTGGGGCTTATAGCACAGCTAATCTCAGCCCCAAGGGAACAAATATACTCTCATTCTGGCAGGTGAGAGTCATCTCCATCAAGTGACATATTTTGTTGTTGACCATGAGGTTTTGACCAGATGTCTGAGGCAATGTTCCCAACAGTTTACTCCATTGCTATGGACTCCCTCCCAATCCAGGCATCAGCTGTTCCCTGCGAGCAAGTGTTCTCATCAAGCAGCAAAACATACACAAAGAAGCATAACTGCATTAGCCTGGTCCTCATGGAGGTGCTACAGATGGTAAAGTTCTCTTTAAAGAAGGAGCGACTTAACTTTACCAAAGGTTGGGTGGTGTCGCAGTGGGCCATGGAAAGTGTTATTGTATCTGACAATGGCTTGGACAAGCTCCTGGCACCTGTCTCAATTGGAACCACAGATGACAGCCGTGCATATGATGCTGTTCTCAAAGCCATCACAGAGCATGAGTGCGATGACATTGACAACAATGTTGTTGTCTATGATATCTGACATCTCTTTGATCTTTCATTCTTGTTTCTCACTTTTTGTTTACCATCACGCACCTTATGATTCTTCTTTCATTGTGTTTGTACATCGAATTTCAGTTGTTATCTCACAGTCTCTTGGTCTAGGCAATCCAGATTATTCAGTCCACTACTGGGTCAGATCCTTGATATCTGTTGAGCTCAAGTTGTGCTGACCAGAGATGCTGCTAACTCATTGACAACAACAGAAGCTTGAGCTTACTGATGGCAAATTTTTTCAAGATCATCATCACTGCCATTGTGTGCACTGCCACTCAGGTAGTTTATGTGTTTTATGCTTCTCATGTTTCATTTCAGTAATCACCCACAGACATGCTAAGCTACATGCTTCAATTGAGCATACGGCAATGCAGGCATACAATGTCATTGGATGTCAAGTGTCCTCAGGATGGGTGTTTTTAATTTCTGGTAAATGAACTTTTACTTGGTTCCTGAGCTATTAATAGTACATTTGAAAAACAGTTCTGGTCAAAGGTGCCCATTTCCACCCTACTGAGCCATGGCTGCTAACAGGTCTGTACAACAGCTCCATCAACATCTACAATCATGAAACTGGTGCACTTGTGAAGACTTTCAAGGTCTCTACTGTTCCTGTATGCTGTGTTAAATTTATTCCCTGAAAAAACTAATTTGTTGCTGGCTCGGACAACTTCCAACTGCACATCTTCAATTACAATACGCATGAGAAGGTTGCCATGTTGGAGGCTCACCCTGATTATATACAATGTCTCACTGTGCACCCAACTGCAAGCATCGTGCTCACTGGAAGTGATGACATGACTATCAAAGCTTGGGATTGGGACGAGCAGTGGAAATGTATTCAGGTGCATTACCATGTTTTGTGCTACTCTCAGCCTCACAACTTGTGCCAGGTATACGAAGGACATACGCACTACATCATAAACATCACTTTCAACCCCAAAGACTCAAATACTTTCGCATCTGCTTGTCTTGATCGGACCATCAAGATGTGGTCCCTTGCCTCCCCTACAGCAAACTTTACCATGGATGCACATGACAAAGGCATCAACTATGTTGACTTTTACCCTGGCTTGGATAAGCCATACCTCGTCACAACAGGTGACAACTGGACTATCAAAATTTGGGACTACCTCAGCAAAAGCTGCGTGCAAATGATGGAAGGACACACAAGATCAAGGAGATCAGTACCACAGAGATATTTGTGAAGGCACTGCTACACTTGCCAAATGGACGCTTCATGACTGTTGTCAGTGATGGAGAATACATCATCTACATGGTGCTCGCATGGGCTGGTGACTCAAACATGTATGCAGTATTGGAGAGCAAGGTGAAGCTTCGTGTGTTCAAAAACTTCAAGGAACACAGTGATGCAGGGATGAAGGGCACAAGAAGCTGGGCAGTGGATGCCATTTATGGAGGTCTGGTGTTGGGCACGCATGGAAAGGGTTTTGTGATCTTTTGGGATTGGGAGAGCGGGGAAATTGTGAGGCACATTGATGTGGATGCAAAGAATGTGAGTTTGTGACATAAATTGGACGTTCATGATGCTAACACTTTGATAGATCTTTTGGTCGATGACAGGACACTCGTGGTGGTTGTATCAGATGACTCTTACTATATCCTTAAATTTGATTGAGATGCCCACAATTCTAAACTAGAGGAGGGCGTGGAAATCACAGATGAGGGTGTTGAGGAATCATTTGATGTTGTTGCTGAGATCTCAGACAGGTGAGTGATGTTAGCAGAAGTTTCATACTCAACTAACTGTATTTTTATCAGCATGAAGAATCAATATCTTTGGGTATTTGTTGTCTTTGAGTGTTGTTGAATACCAAACGGCTGTCCTCTGTGGTGATATGGACTCAGCAGCTGAAGGAGGAGCTAAACAAAGTTGCTCGGTCTGGAGGGTCGAGGTATGCATGATTTCAATTATGTGTGTGGGTCTACAATTCAGCTGATATTTCTATAGACCTCTAGCCATTTAGTGACGAATGATATCAGAAACAAACGCAATGCAGGTGAGTACATCCTCTTCTACTTGCACATCTAACGCTTATTCCCCCCTTGCTGTTAAGAACCATGCTCAAGGGAGAGAGAGACTGACTCAGAGGGGCTTGGCCTCAGCTCATATGCTGTGCCCCTTACCCGAGTATGTGCCCTTCATTTCAGAGGAAGTCCAATGATGGTCTGACAAAGTCCAGAGGACTTCTGGAGGCTGGCTACTCTGGTGGAGAGTGTGGGAGGACTTCCGGAGGAGCGCGGGAGAGTTCTGGAGGAGTGCAGGAAGTGCTCAGGAGAGTTCCCACTGCAAGGTAGTACTTCTACAGGAAACGGGATGGAAGGGTAGGATGTCTGGAGGTACAGAGGACAGGACATGGAGGTATGGAGGACAGAACGTCCAAAGGACAGGATGCCCAGAGATGCACAGGACAGGAGGTCCAGAGGTCCAGAAGGAATAGGGGCTACATCGGATGAAGTCCGATGTAGAAGCAAATGGAGGTAGACTACCCTAAGGTAGAGTCGGAGGGACAGGAAGTGGACCAAAGTCTGGAAAGAGGGTAAGTGCCAGAAAGGCAAGACTCTAGCCTAGGGAAGCAATCCCTAGACTTGGGACAGAGACATAGGGGACAAATCCGAAGGTCCAGAATTCCGGCCTAGGGAATCCTTCCCTAGGCCTTATGGAAAAGGACAAGACTCAGATGGACTGAAGTCCAGAAGATGATTGGACAAGTAGAACAGGATCTAAGATGAGAGAGCAGGAACTAAGATGATATTCAGACTGAGGACTCTACTGTAGTTGTACAGGGGTTATATACTAGAGGCTATCCAAGAGGATCAGTAAGCAAAGGAGTAAGGCTATGTACGAGCATGTGGAAACACATTGGTAAGTAAGACGGAACATAAGTAAATGAACTCAGAGATGAAACTAGTACAAGGATCAATCAGCAAGACAGAAACAGAGATAACTGAGAACCAGAAAGGGGGAGATGCCTAAATGGGGATAGGTGCAGGATCTCAGACAGAGGGTGGGAATAGGTCTGGAGATAGTACAGTTAATATCTGGAGGTCTGGAGATCTGGGGATCCGGAAGGCAGGGCAGAAACAGGACTGAGATATGTGAGGTGGTGGATGTAGTCCAGAATCCAAGAGGAGGTAAAGTCCGGATGTCTTGCTGGACAGAATGTGTGTAGGGTGGACAGGATAGGGGATCCAGGAATGAGTTGGATATGGGGTCCGGAAATAGGTCCGGAAAGCGTGGGAATATGATGCGATCTATGTCTGGCATACAGGATATGACACTCACCCTCCAACCCAACTTCCTCAGCACTACATGCCACCATTTCATCCTTGGCCGTTCCTGGACATCTACTGCCACCCTCATATCCACTGATCTGCTGCGTCACGAGACCCTTTCTGGCTCCCCTGCCCTTATCTGCCTCATCTCTGCCTTTACTGCCTGTTGCTTGCAAGTGTGGTCCAAGCTGCAATACAACTAATCAGTATTAGCTTCCCAAATGCTGGATTCAATAACAACACTTACATCAGCTTGAGGACCCATTGCAATCATCAATATTACTTTGGATCAAATGTGAAGTATGATTGTGCAGTACAATGCGAGTCTGATTGATTGTGACAGCACATTTCCTCTTTCACTCAACGTTTGATTAACTTAAAATTAAGTGTATGTATTTATATATATATTCTAATTTAAATTTGGCTTGAGCTGGCTTCAAGCCTGCAAGCACAGCTTCGTGGGCTAGACCAGACCATGGATTATGTAATGTGTAACTGCATACACGGCTTGGCTAACCGTAGCTCCGCTCACGGCTAAAGCCGGCCACAAGCCGGAGCCGCGGCAACACTATCCAGCACTGTGAACTGAATGCGAGAACATCAACTGGTAGTAGGTTTGATGAAAACAACATTAACCAGTATGTGTAGCCAGATGGAAGGTGACTGGTACATAATTTGCAAGCATGGCAAGCGCCAATCAGTTGACCCCCCACCATCGCATCCTGACACATCCACCTCAACTAGTACAGCCCTGGATGACGGTATCACAGTTTTTAGTTCATAAGTGTATCAAAATGACACTATCATGGCTGGCAAAAGGTTGCTTGTTGGCCAAATGATAAATCACATAACGATAGATCCTGTCTGTCGGGAATTTGACAGGCGGTACCTGTCTCATTGCAGGTGCTGGCTATGCGGACGTGGTCTTGTTGGTCTGTATTTTGTGCAGTATCAGTTTCGTAATTGTTGTCCGCATCTCCAATTTGCGAGTCACCTGGAAGAGCAACCTGCACCCCCATCCACCCCACTGCTACTGCCTTCCCTTGTTGCCAGCCGTCTCGTTCGCGAGACGAATAATAATATTCCCATTCACCCGCATGCTATGATCAACAAACCTTTTTCGATGGACCCGAACACCCTTTTCTGATCACCAAATCAACTTTTCAGCTAGGGTATAGCACGGGTATACTCGCGGGCCGGAAGATCAACACCGTACCCGTACGGGTACGGTATTACCCGTACTAACCTGTGGTATAGCAGCTTACCCCCGGTGTTGTATTTATCCGCAGGTACACATACAAGAGATAGTAACACTTCGTAGGTCCAATAACCTCACCCAACACTCTCATCCTCTCGTTTTCTTTTCTTCAGAGACTTCATGATCTTAGTAAGGTCCTCGGGTGTCTTTGTAACGATCTATGTACTCTTCTCGGACGAGATTTTCGGCAGCCTCAATCCACTCATCTTCCCATTTTTGTAGCCGGAAGCGTGAGTCAGCACAAACACCCATACAATTGACGACTTATTTCAGCTGGCTCCTGGTCTCTTTCACCGGCCATGGTTCTTCGTACGGCTTCCTTGTGGATCGTATTCCATGTTCTACATGCCTCTGTGCTGGTCGTCAGCCTGCCCATGACTTGTATGTTTGTCTACAGAAGCATGGTTTTGTGCGATGCACACGTTGGGTAGTTGATATTGACTGCAAAACATTCATTGCTGGTACCGATCCCTGTGTGGCCACAGGAATTATCAGAGTTGGACCCTATCAATCCTCCATGTTTTGCCAGCTCCCGTTGTGACCAATTTGAGTTCCAACTCACATAGCGAAGTGGGCTGTTAGGTCGCCTCAGTGCACTGCTGCAAGAATCATTTCAAGCGGGAGTTGGCCCTGACTAATCCACAACAATGATCGAGTCTTTAAAAGTGCATGTAAGGAGCGGTAAGTTCTGATGTCGACAGCACAGAGACGAAACTGGATTCATAAAAAGTGTAGCTCGTATTGTTAGAATGATTCAAGTCTTCTTGCTCATATTCAATCGTCATGGCACGCCCCTCCTTGGGAAAGGTGACCATCGTCTTTCTGCGCCTGCAAAGGTTCGAATCAGTACCATTTGAAATTCGTCCACTCATGATTCATGAACTCACCGATTTACTTCTAGACTGCCGGGTTCAAATTAAATCTCGCATACATATATTTGCGTAGCGCACTTCGCGCACATGCTTCTCTAGAAAAGTGATATTCTCTCTGCGGAATGACATTAATGGCTCTGCTTTGTATGATAGCGCTGGCTATACCAGCTGTCTTGACTGCACCTGCGGATGCTGGCGGCACAACTGCCCAGCTGGCCTCTGCGATTATCTCTCCCTCCGTTAGCCAATCTTTCCACAGTCCCGCGTCAACGTCCATCTCTATCGGCATAACCTACCTGTCGATCCCTTCACAAACTGCCGTCACAACAGCCATCGTAGTCACTGACGTCGTGACAACTACGATTGCAATCACTCCCACGTCCACGGCTACAGTCGTCGAGACTGTGACTGCAACAACCACCGTGGCCACCACTAGCACGCCATGGGGCAGTCGGACAGCATGGGCGGCTCCTCCAGACATGAAAGACTTATCTGCATTTAACGTCACTCACTTCCCCAGCGGGAAGCAGAATATCGCCATCATCGACAGCATCTCTGCACTCACCATTGTACCAGGAGGACCCGTGTATGCACAGGATATAATCGAGTCACAGAACACGATAAATACACCGAACATTACTGGCTTCACCGCCGCCTTACAACTTGTTTACCCGGCAAGCTCCGTCAACCCTGCCAGCAAATCCCCAGGTGGGGCGGAGTTTTATGCATCGCCATTGAATCTAAGCGACGCCGAGAATGTCACAATGGAATACAGCGTCTATTTTCCCGTGGATTTCGACTGGGTAAAGGGCGGAAAGCTGCCGGGTCTGTACGGTGGTCATACAGGCTGTTCCGGGGGCGCTGCTGCCGAAGACTGCTTCAGCACACGACTAATGTGGAGGCAAGGCGGTGCCGGCGAACTATATCTAGTCCGTCGATTCACTCATAGTATCATGCAAGGGCTGACCTTTTCACAGTACGCTCCAAAGAGAAAGCAAACGAAGGCGTTATGTTCTGATCCACAGTCCGTCTGCGATTCCGAGTATGGGCTCTCAATCGGAAGGGGATCATTCCACTACAGCAGAGGGAATTGGACAACATTGCGCCAAGACGTCGTGCTCAACACCCCTGGAAAGCAGGATGGAGCGTTCGCTTTGTTCGTTAACGGGATGCAGGCGATCAACCGGACAGACATATTTTATCGTGACGCACCTCAGCAGAAAAAGAAGTCGAAATCAAAACCCATGCCCCCGACGTCGCCAACACCACAGCAAACACAAGGTGGCCTGCTGGGAATTCTGGCAGTGACTGCCACAGCGAAAGAAGCTGTAGCTTCTCGACCATCCGTCATCCATACGGCACGAGAAGCGCCAACGATCCTCGTCGCTGACGGGATCTCTGTTGATAGTACCGGTGGTTCCAACGATGAACCAGCGGTTGGTTTTGTTGGGCTTTTCTTCAGCACTTTCTTCGGCGGGCACGGAGACGGCTGGGCCACTCCCAAACAACAATATACGTGGTTCAAGGACTTCGCCATTATGCGCAACTCTTGATAAGATCGTGACCTATCAAACAACCACAAAAAAGGTCCTGCGTGTTCGCAACCAAAGGGCTACCCTGAAAACGATCCATACCGAAAGATTAAAACCACCAACAACCCCAGAACTGCAGACATCATGAGCCACATCCCCGTTCTTGACACTGGTCCCATAGATACCGCCTCTTCCAAAACTTCCTCGAGGGACTTTGCCATCGCCTCCATTCCAAACATCGTCTGGGCACGATCCTGAGCTCTCTGCGAGAGCGCCTTCCTATCTGTCTCTGAGAGATTACAGATTTCCTTCAATGCTTGAGCCCACACCGATGGCTGGGGGCGGTAGAGCCATCCAGTCCTTTGATCCGGGGGTTGGTCAACGATACTCTCCGTGGGGCCACCGCTGTCGCAGGCAAGCACTGGCAGGCCACATATCATGCCTTCCACTGGTCCAATTCCGAAATGTTCGTTAGCTGGCGTATATAATAGAGCGAGTGTAGATTGAGCCTGGAGTAGACATGAACGTTGCGCGGTGGTAAAGTTTAGGAGGAACAATATATCCGGCTCATTCAGGGTCATCTTCTGGAACGACGGTACTGACACGCGGGACTGTGACAGGGTGATGACGTTGTAAGTTAGATCATTGAATTGTGCCAGCTCAATGAGGGATTTCAGGGTGCGCATATTATCCTCTAGACGAGGATCATAGCCACCTGGAAGATAGTCAGCGACGAACTCGTGTAATAACTTTTATCCAACCGACCAGCAAGAACCAGCCTCACGTTTGATGTACTCGGATCCTTGTTACGCAATATCGCAAATGCTTCTATTGCCAAAGCAGCATTCTTCTTCATTTCAAACCGGTTGAGGGACAATAATGTTCGCCGTTGTCTTCACCGAGTATTTGAATGATCGATGCATGAAAGACACAAAAATAGACTCACGAAGCGACCTGGAGGATATCGGGATCTGATGGGTCGATTGGTGAAGTATAGGCTGCAATATTGATTCCAGGATAGACGACTTTCAGCTGGTGTCTAAGGGAAGAGAAGTGCGACTTGGTTACTCGTGCAGTGAACTTTGAGTTGGCGAGAATGAGGTCAGCCTGTGCTAGATCTCCGTTAAATGTAAATTCTGTGCAAGGGGTGGCACACATACTCGTAGTCGCCTCCTCTAGCCAATCCATTGGGAAACGATAGATGTATTTCAGGATACTGACACTCTTCCCCCGCTGGTCCTCTACGTAGGCACCGTTCGCAAGAAGCTTGTCCGGAAAATGGCAGTAGAAAACGACGCGCTTCCCACAAAACATTCGGAGGAACGGTATGCAAGTGGAGAGTTGGTCAACAAAGAAGACGTCATATTGATGCGCTGACGTGCACATGAGGTGCATTGTGAGATGTAGCTGCCTTGCATGTGCAAACATGATATGAAACTTTCCCTGTATAGATCGAGGTAGCGGTGGAATTACATGATGGACGGATAATCTTCCTGTAAAGAAGAGCTGTATAATGATGACACGATCACTGAACAAGTAGTTCCTGACGTACCATCTCTTGTCTCGTCAAAACAGTGGTGCTTGTCGTGATGAGAAGTGTATATATCCACAGAGTGACCCAGGGATTGTAACCCCAATGCAGCATCTACAACCAGCCTTTCGGCTCCTCCTACGTGTCATAATGTGAGTTTGGTTCCATATTCGAATTTATTATGACATACGTACCGATTCCTAAGTCAGGGTGAATAAACGCAATGCGCAATTTTAAGTTCTTCGCCATCATTCAAATCAACAGCTCGGGCTCGTGTATGTCTTGCGTTCTAACGAATTGTGACATATTACGTAATGATGACCATGTGTCACGCTTCAGGCACGCCTGGCCCTTCCATGATGATATCCTACCGTGTGATTATAAGCGATACCTGGAAATTATCTTTTGTTCTCCAGAAATCCCAGATTGACAATTTTGTCAGTACTGGCACCTATGTTTCATGTGAGGTTCTGGCAATGCTGCGACCAACAGTTCCACACGTGGTCCGTCCCAAATCAAGTGACCGTGGCGATTATAAGCCACACCCCACAGTCCAAGGGGCTTATAGACCTATATTCGGAAGGCGTGACGTGACATTGTCCGCGTGATTTTGACGCGTCACTTACGAGACGCGCCTGCTTCCGTCCTTCACTTTAGGCTTGACTTGGGCTTGACCTAGTACTCCTACATATGCATATACTGAACAGCAAACATGTCACGAGTCCCAGAAAAAAGGTCTGTCATTGTATCTGCACAATCAATGTTGCTAATTTGCTATGTTTCTTTTAGTGTTCGCGTGAGCTTCACCGCAGACGAGGACACCCTCCTCATGAAATACATTGCAACATATAATCCTGCTAAGAAATGCAGAAGCGGAAACGCCCTGTACAAGCGTCTTGAGGAAAACGTGAATTTCTCTCATGTTTCTCTTGTGAAACAAGTTCTAACACTGATATAGGTCGACAACAAATGGAACTGGTCCAAGACACACTCGTGGCAGTCCTGGCAGTTCAGATACAGGAAAAATATGGATGAATTTGATAGGAGGATATTGAAGTATCAGAAGAAGAAAGGAATTAAACCGGAGAAGCAACTGGGGACGGAGCCTCAGTTGCCGCCTTCTGATGAAGAAGAAGCTGCGAGGGACCGTTCGAAAGAGACCAGCAAAGGAAAAAGGCCGGCTGGCGGCCAAGACAGTTCTGAGAAGCGGAAAGTAAAGCGAGCGAAACTGGAAAGAGACCAGCCAGATGCTGGGAGTAGTCGCTCCCCCTTGATGAAGACCAATGGGACACGCCAAATTCCCGCTGGTGGACAAAGTGACCAAGCTCGTAGTTCTCACCCTCATCAGGGGCCATTAGAAACTATGTCTGACGTGCCTCCACCTTCCCCGAAACCAGCGAGCACGTTCAATATTCCTTCGCTCCCTTCTCGCTCAGATACCCTGCCAGTCCCGTCGTCCCTACCCAATTCTCCTGTCAGGACCCTGCCACCAAACTCGTCCCAGCTTCCACCAAGTTCTCAGCCTTTTGCATCATCTTCACAGCAGGTAGTCACCCCAAAGCCGCCATCAGGGCCCAAACGAGTCTTGAAGCGCAAGTCCGTTTCCCCCATCTTTGGCTCGCTCTCGCCAACATGTGATCGTTCTACCCCTTTAAAGACGAAAATTCTCCCCAAAGTAGTAGAAGGGCACTTTACAACGTCACTCACTGATCGGCTAGGTCATGTGCGACTAGGTGGTCGTTCTGAGGAGAAACAGGCAGTGGCTTGGCCTCCCGTTCGGGGCAAGAAGGATAGAGAGAAGGAGGTAGCACAAGAACCAACCGCGTTAATTTCTTCAACGGCTCAGGAATGTGAACGCCATCCCGTCAATGGATCCGAGTCTCAGACATCACAACCGGCTGTAGTGCCTCCAAAGAGCGAACCAGAATCTCAGCAACCTCCAGCTCCTCTTCCACCACATCGTACAGAGTCTGAACACCACCCCTTCAGCCAAGTCCCACTTCCTCTCCCTCCTCATCCTCCACGTAATCACAATGGCGCAGATGAAGCCGAATCTCCTCTGAAGCATCGCTCGACAAACGGGGTGGGCCACCTCGTTAAGAATTTGTGGGACAGAAAACGAGACAACGTTATGGGCTCAGCATCGGTTATGGCCCAACCTGTGGCCGGGCCGTCAAAATTAACCACCACTGCCGGGCCTTCATGTCTCACATCCTCTGCTGAACTACCACATGGACAGCCAGTTGTTGTGCCTTCTGCCACACCCACGAGCAAGGAAAAGGCACACTTACCGAACACACCGTCGTTAGCTCAAATTTCCACTGAATCTACTTCGAGTACGATGGCTACCGTTCAACAGATACGGGCTCCATCGAAGAAAGAGTTTGTCCCCATCTTAAACGCTCACTCAATTGTCTCACCACAAGACAGGAATTCACGTTCGCCTGCCTCAGCCCCTCGCAGATTCAATATGCAGCCATTTCCCGTACCAGGTTCACCATTCCTACCTTCTAATACAGACAAGGGCAAAGGGAAAGGCAAACAGCGCGATGTCGAGCCTCCGGTGACACATGCCCAACGTCTACTCAATCGTACTCGAAAGCGACACCGGAGAAAGACAGTTGGTGGCTATGACCTGCCACGCATGGACCTTCGCACCCTATCAACAGTGTCGACTTCTCGAATCTCTCGTTCTAGAGGCAGTAGCTCAGCATCACACTTACCTCACCGCCCCTCCCTCCCTGTCCATTCCACACCATCGGCCATCCCAGCTGACCTCTCCGGCTACCTTATCACGCCTGGGCCTGCGATTCCATCAGTTCCACTTGAGCTTATCACGCCTGTTGACTTACCCCTGTCTGCCTCTGTCGGATTCAGATCCTTAATATCACGTATCGCTGCCGCGCATGGATACTCACCAGATGTCGTGCTCGAGGTTTACAAGCGCGTCGAAAGCTTGGAGGAGACTGAGAAGTGTGTAAGGGGCATGCGCGATGCTTCTGAGAGCTGGATTGAAGCGGCACTCAAGCAGAGGGAGCGGGAAGCGCGTAGAGCCAGGAGAGCCGAGAATGACAAGGAGAGCGACGATAGCGACGACAAACTGCCTCGTGGCTCTCGTCATCGACCATCCTTGCAACAAGCTTTACCAGAGAGGCGGTTGCCGAATGGGCTGCGGGTACGGCATGAACCTGGATTGCATGAGTTGGAATACAAGCCTCTGCCTACGAAACAGGCCGCGCTGAAGAGGCGAGCATCGATGGGCGGAAGTACCAGTATGGGTACAAGCTGGAGGGCGGATGCAGGGCGTTACAGGACCAATCACGTAGAGGATGAGGTGGCAGATACTGCTGTCGACAGTAGTGAAGGGAGTGATGATGAAGCCGCTTCGGGAGAGGAAGATGAAGAAAGCAGCGACGATGTCAAACAAGCAGAAGAGGAGCGTGTTGTGGAGAGGCTCGTTTCTGTATCTCCATTGGAAGACCTTCAGGATCAGGATGATCCCGAGTACGACGCCGGAAATGATCCCGAGCTTGCGCCCGATGATGCAGAGCAGCTTGATGAGGAACAGCATCACGATTTCTCACTCCGAGAACGTCCTCGTGCCATACGTATCAAGCACGAAAGCCTGACACCACCCTCACTTTGCAGGTTGCATGGGGATTCAGCCCAGAATGGGAAAGAGGTGTTAAATGGTGCTTCGCCAGACGTTCGCCGCATACGCTCAGTATCTCCGCCCTGGAACGCGGATGAGGGGATAACCCTTCTTTCGGGGAATGGGCAGATGCACCAGATGCTTGAGAGGCGATTGGGGAAACATGGCATGAAAAAAAGAGTTGCGCAGCTGCTGCGATAGCATTAGGAGTTCAGTGCACGAGCATGTACGTAGTGTCTCTTTTTTTTGGTAACGAAGCAATGCAGGAATTCACCAGTGTAATTAACCGTAGTACAATAACCTTTAATGTTATGGCTCACACTGTTGAGCGGTGGAAGTGGTTAATTGCCGCAACTTTTCTACATGCCGAGTGTTCGTCAGTGAATTCATCAGATCTATATTGCAGGGGTACACGACAGGAATCAAGGTATTGAAAGAAAAATTGCGTAACTCTTTCTTGGGTCAAGACCAAAGTCAATTTTATTAGAGTGAATTGCTAAGCCATACGTACTCAGCCCACGACCTATCAATATTTCTGGCCATCATCGTTCAAATATCTCACAACCGCAGCAAGAACGTCGCTGATCTTTGGACGTGAACTTGGCAGTTCAGCCCAGCACTGCTCAATCAAGCTCCAATATCGGGTGTCAATAGTGCCAGGATTAGAAGGCCTACGGCCCGTCTTTGCACGCATCATAGTGTTCAGTCCCGTGATATCGGGCCACAAGCGGGATCCGGTAAAAATCTAAGGAAAATGAGGACCAAAGCAAGACTAGTGGCAGGTCTCGTACCAGGTACATTAGGCATGCGAAAGAGTACACGTCACTTGATGGGCTTGGATTCGGCCCCTTACTATCGGCCTGGTGGTCGGGGAATAACTCTGGGGCCGCCCAGGCTAGTGCTCCTCCTATCTTTGCATCGGTGTATGTGACCGACAAATTGGTAAAGCCGCCCAATATCACGGAGAGGCCAAAGTCAGTCAGTACGGCCCTTTCGTCATCGTCGATCAGAACATTCAACTTTGGGGGAAAATTTGACATATTTTCTGTGTGAATAAACGAGGCTTACTGGGGTGAGGTCCCCGTGGACTATAGGATGCTTATGAACTATCGATATTTTTGAGATTTTGAAGATAAAGGGTAACTCAGACATACGATATTTCAGCCCTTCAGCAATGTCTTTCACCTGTTAAACGTAGTAAAAGAGATGAAGTAAGAAATGAAAAAAAAGCCTACCCAAAGAGACGCCGTACATCATCGACATCCCTGTTACCCATGTATGCATAGAGTGATCCATTCTTCATCCACAGGGAAACCATGCCAACCATGCCTTCGAGATGACCGAAGTCCGTCGTAGTGCCCAACAACGAAGCTATGTTCGGGTGAGATAGCCTTCTCCAAGCTGCAAGTTCACGCTTCAAATTCTGTGGACAGAGACAGTTAACCACACGAATATCTGCCAGTAGACTTTCACGACTACCTTCTTTACTTCATCTACTCGCGAGGAATCCTCGACATGCATGACCTTAACAGCAACCTACCCATCATCAGACACTGACGTATGCAAATACAAACAAAGTAACCTTGACTTGGCCCCCAGTCTTTCTGTTCCAGATGGATTCATAGACAGACCCGCACCCTCCGTGAGCATCGGCATAATCCCGCTGCCTTTTGATCTGTCCGGTAAGATCTGGAGGGCCGATAAAAACTTGATAATCTTTGATCTTTTCAAAACATGCGAGCGGAAGGGTCGAACTTGTGGAAGAAGCGACAAACATGGTTCTATAAGTGCCCATTGGTCATCATCCAATCGGACCCTTGGGTCGCGACGGCGTCACGCGTTT